GACTTGCATCTACATGTAATTTCTCCTAACAATAACACCCTTAAATCACACATAAGGTCATGAGAATAGAAGAAATGATCATCAACTAAAGAAGTTCTTGATTATTAATTGAAATAAATTCTTCCTGTCAGCACTTTAGAACATGTACAGAGAACAGTGTGGAGAATTTATTACACGACTCGGGCAGTCAAGAGGGCCAATAACTAAATTCAACCAATCAAAATGCTCTATTGCCGGTCAACATTCTCTCAGCGTTGGACCGGGCACTGTCCCGAATGATCCCGAATGGTCCCGAATGGTCCCGAATGGTCCCGAATGATATACTGCACTTGTGTCCCTTTGAACTTCAGTTGTATAATAAATCTCATTAACCAAGCTTGCTCAGTTGGGACCATACCGGAAGAATATCGGCCCTCGGTCTTTTTTGTATGGACCTCAAGCTGCGCTCGGTCCGTACTGTCAAGACCTCTGGCCGATATTCTCCCAGTATGGCCCTCACGCTTGGTTAATAATATATATATATACATACTGATGTTAGAGTGCCAAGGGTTAAATAAAACCATCCAAAGCATACCTGGAGATAGTGTGAGAGGCAATGAGGGTGAGTAAAGACTCCAGCGTGGACCCCCCTTCCTCTCTAAGTTCTGTCATCTTAATCAGAGGATGATTTCTGGGAACTATTTCCAATGAGATGTCAGCCTCTCCTTTCTTCAGTGACTCAGAATCCTGCATATTAAATAACATTCACGGTTGGATTTAATACACGTTAGTTGCCTTCTCAAAGAGTGACAAAATAGAAAAAAACATACTTGGGTTTTAAGTGACTGAACAAGAACAAGCATCTCCATAAACTTTATAGCATGAGTTCTTATTCTGGAAAGAAAACAAAATCACATGTCGAGAAAAATAATAATTTATTTTTTACCATGATTGGCAGTAATGTTGAAATCTGATTGGCCAATTAGCCATTGTCAATAAGAGTACAGACAATGATGCTTATGCCAAAATTTGTTGCTGATTCACTAGGCTGTACTTTGTGAGTCTACAATGTTTAGACCACTGTTATGATGAGTATTATTGTCAATATGAGTACAGACTACACTTAATCACTCTCGATTTGTTATTTATACGTGTACTGCAGTCTGTGAGTTTTGGCACACAATTCCCCACCCACAGGAAAGTATAAGTCCATGAGCAACTCAAGTCCACAAGAAGTCTGTTTGGGGTTTACAACTGATAATGAGGCCAGACTCCGGTAAACATCTCCCTAACTCATCTCAAATTTTCCCTTAGGTGAAGAGACATGCATGTTGCAGTGCTAATTATATTGTAGCTAATTTTGTAGAAATTGAAGGTACATTGGTTAGGGATATTTAAGAGATTTTTAGCCTGTATTGTGCAACTATCGAGTCATGGATGCAGGTGGGAGGTTGCTAAGCATGAAAGACACATAAAAGTTGCACAAGGCAACAGACAAGTGGGACTCTAGCTTCTTGAGCCAATCAGAGTGTGCACTTCTGTAAAGCTATGTTATAAATTACCCATCGTTGTCAGATTCCAGCATATCAATAATCTGTTCTTTTATTTGGATGAGAAGCTGTAGGCAAAAATAGAATAAAATTAATGAAAAAATTAATAAATGGAGATGCCAAGATGTTAATTATCTACTTTGCTTTCCATGCCTTATGAGAAAATAATGCATGTAAAGTAAAGGAGTTAATAGATAACAAATAACTTGTTAGACATTTTGGTACATGCATTGTTGCTGAGTGTTTTTACCCTTTGTTTGTATTTTGACTCATCCTATAGGCTTTTTTTGTAATAATTATTACAGCAAAGGCCACTTGAACAAAAATCTTTCTATCAAATCTTGTAACATACACCTTTCCTTGATATCAGGATGTCTGCGAGGCAAAAGTTGACTGTAAAATATGTCAAATAAAATTCAATCTGCTTACCTCCCACATGCGTTCTAGCTCTTCAGATATTGCTTTTTGCTTACAGATGTACTAATCAAAGAAATAAACAAAGTAACAGTTCATACAATCTTAGTTAATGTGTTGGCAAGGGTTAAGAAAAATTCACTCCAACTTTAGATGTACGTATATTTGAGTAAAATATATGAAAAATCTTTTGAACCAGCCATTTACTGACCTGTAAAGCGTACTTGTACAGCTGGGTAAAACACAACATGACTCGCTTCTGGACAGCAACATTATCATCATTCAACATAAAACCCAGATTGTTCAGCACCTTGCTCAGCAGTTCAATGTCTTTCTTGCTGCAAATTTGAGATCAAAGTTAATGGTTTGATAGGTATGAGTAGTAAGCTACCACCACTGTTTTCTGGTACATGAAGATAAATGTTTCAAACAAAATGACTGTGTAGCACAGAGGAAAATAAGTTACTATAGTTTATAATAATAAACCAGAAAAAAAAAAAAAAAAAAAAAAAAAAACACCCAGCTTTGGGTGGTCTGCTAATGAAGGGGGCACCACTATCTACTTGACACAGTTTCAAGAGGTCTTGATTCAAGCCTTATTAAATCAACTTGACAGCTGAGTGATACTCTTAACCCTGAGACCTTACGAAACAGGCTTGGTATCATTACACCTTTATCCCTTTAAAGTGACTACAATCTAATATTTCCTTACAACAACCCTCCACCCCCCCCCTCCCCCCAAAAAATCACCTATAAAGGTCTGGCTCCAGTTGTTCAAAGGGCAGATAACGCTATCCAATGGATAAATCACTATCCAGCGGATAAGTGTCACCAAAACGCACTGCGCTATCCACCGGATAGAGATTTATCAGTGTATAGCGTTATCCATCCTTCGAATAACCGGGGCCAGGATATTAAAGGGAATAATCATCAACTAAAGAAGCTCTTGATTGTTGAACAAAGTCTCCTAATCTGTATATTAGGAAATGTATAGAGAACAGTATGGAGAATATGCATACTGATGTTAACGTGAAGGGATAAGAATGAAAGTTTAAGCCTCTCAGTTTCTATATTTGTGTGGGAGTATATCTATGGACACTAGTGGACTCTCAGTGAAAACTAGTGAACTACTGAGGGCAATGGATAATGGAATGGCAACTTGTCAAGGGCAAATGGACAAAACACCAGTCCAGTAACCTGCTTTAAGTTTTCTTCAAAGAGCCTGCTCCTCTTTCAATGTTGATATTTCTGCAAGCATAACACTTCTAATAGCAAACATCGAAAGGGTGAAGGGGTATCTGAAGCAAGAGTGTTTCAAGAATTGTTACAAGGATTTTAGACATCTCAAGTTATGGCAAAGTCTTACAAGAACACTCTTGTAAGACTTTTTTTCAACCAGAGGTATCTCACTTCCACCGATGCTCAAATAATCAATTTCAAACATACCATGCTTCCTCAATGAATCCCACCACAAATTTACGTACATCTGCTGATCGATCTTGCTGGAAAACTAGGATTTCCTTCAGGGTAAAACATCGAAATAAGTTCTGTTTACTAAAGATCATTAACTACTGTTTGACTATTTGAACAAAAGTTATGATTGAAAACTACAGTCCTACTGGATGTTCTGTGGTTATTGTTCATTACAAGCAAATGAGGATACAACCAGTATGTTAAAAGAACAACAAAGTACCAAATCTAACTTGCAGAATGCCTTAGTCCAAATTAAGTATGTGAAATTTGTGCTTGTAATCAAAACAATATTAAATATCAGGTATTGAAAATAATGTTACATAGTGTATAATCAATGAGGAGTATTTTAATTAAAATAACAAACAAACAATTCAAAATATGCTGTACTTACATCCAAAAAATTATCAAGAAGGGTTGGGTCTTTGTTCACAATGAACTCCTGGACCTATGATAGAAATAAGTAAAGAGTTAAAAATGTCTTTCAGTATCATTTTAAACAAAACTGCAATGACAGCTGTAGGCCTACACTTTCAGCAATGATTCGTGTGCTGTTAGCATTCTGGTTGTGGGGTAGTATTTTGGTGTAAGAATATCTGTAATGTCCTCAAGCACATTCCATACTGCACTCATGTTCACTGTAATACACTGTATAACAAGGCAAAAATACCAACAGAACGAGGAGCAACAAAATGATGACCACTGTGAGCAATCCCAACTTTTACTTTTCTCAATTTTTTTGCGATGAATTTTTCAGCAACAAACTTTGAAGCCCATCAGATCCATCAGATAAATTGTTTCGTTTCTGTTGTTTTCATCATCCACGCACGCTTTAAGTGATCAGGACCAAGCTCGAATAAGGCCGTAGGAAGTTGTTCAAAAACTAGAAGCCAAAATATCAGAAAATGAAATAACAGTGGAACAATAAATCCCTTGTTCGATGGATTATCATATAATACAAGCAGAAATTTTGCTAATTGATCGTAAAAAGATACCAAGCAAATCAGAACATATCCGCCTGTATTAAGTGTTAACCTTCGAATGAGGGACAGCTGTACACCACTGAGCACTGCTCTGTGGCTGGATACACCAAGCTTATTTACCTGTTTCAGACAATTTAGTTTGTTTTCCTTTTCCAGCTGAGCTTGATTAAGCAAATCAATGACCTGAAAATGCCAATGTTGTTTGAGTACGTTCAATCTAACACTAGCTTATGATAATCATTACTATGCACAGATTCACTTATCTTTCTCTCAACAAAACACTACCAAAGGAAACATCCTTGATTGAAGCTACAGGCTATGGAAATGTCCACGAATTTAGCATATCTGCGAATGGACGAAATCTGATCATCGTACTCTTAAAAAATCATCTGTAACCTTTTCTGATGTAGAATCTTCAGCAGTATATTCTCCTGAAGCTGCACGGGCGTCTGCATCGTCACTTTGGAAGGCTTGTGAAGCTTCTGAAAGCCGAACACGAGTGCGACCAACGGCCGCCATCTTGATTTCTGTACCCTTATTTTTCTTGGCCAGCGGTAATAAGTAAATCCAAACTAGGGTCGTGTAATATTAACCAAAAAGAAAATGGCGCCGGTGAGCCTCAAAACTCAGTTACGTTCAGAATAGTTTTTCACGGAAAACAGTATGGGACTGTTGACTATTTTAAAGAAGATGAAGCAAAAGGAGAAAGAGATGAGAATTCTGATGCTGTATCCTTTGATGTATTGTAGGAAATATCCGTTTTCAGTGTGTTGTTTTTTGGAAGATGAAATACAGTAATAGTGCCCAAGGTGTATCAGTTGGTTTGGCAGGACAAAATATTGGATTGTACCCTTGACTTTGCTCTACAGAGGACTTGATAATGCTGGAAAAACAACTATTTTAAAGAAGTTCAATGGAGAAGATATCAACACAATAGAACCTACTTTAGGATTTAATATCAAAACCCTAGAGCATAAAGAGTAAGGAATAATGTCAGTGCCTGTGTTTTATTTGTCGTTCAGTTTGTCAGCATCCCTGCCTGTCCTTCTGTTTTTCCATCTGTTTCTGTATATCTATCTCTGTGAGTGTTTGACTGTACATGTGTCTGTCCACCTGTCTGTATGTCTGTGTGCATTTATCTGTCTTTCTGTTTCACTATGAGTGTGTGTCTGTAGATGTGTCTGTCAGCCTGTCTGTATGTCTGTGTGCATTTATCTGTCTTTCTGTTTCACTATGAGTGTGTGTCTGTGCTTCTGTCTGCCTGTTTGTTACCAGTTGGTCTGCATTCATGCTTGTCAGTCCATCTGTCTGTCTACCCATCCATTCATCCCTTTTCCCTTTTCATCCACCATCCACTTTCCCACTTATATGTTTGACAGAGTAAAGGTAGGTAGGTAGGTAGGTAAAGTCTGTAAACGAGCCAGTTAACCAGCAGGCCAAGTGGCTCATCCAGTCAGAAGTTATCTTGGTTTCCTTAGCATAAAGCAAGTAGGAGTGTCTTTACCCCTCCCTTAGATGTGATACCATCCGTGGCAAGGTTTTCCCAGCTCCCCTCTCCCTTGGCATTTCACCAGGCTTCCCTGTTAATTTGCTGTTACCTATGCTGCTGGGTATAGCGAGGCAGTGTGAGAGTAAAGTGTATTGCCCAAGAACACAGCACAGAAACCCTGCCAGGTTTTGAACCAGGAACTCTTAACCCTTTAGCTCCCATGAGTGACCAAGACAGAATTATTTTACTCCTTACAATATCAGCACAATTATATCAAGCAGACAAGTGATGAGAATAAAGAAATAAAATATGAATAAGGGGATTATTAGTTGATCCAAAACCTAATTCTCTAAACTAACATCATTAGAATTGTACGGCAGAAAGTAAGGAGAATTAATAATTGAGATCTCAAGGGTGAAAGGGTTAACCCAGAGTGCAGCACTAATCGTTTGGCCACCATGTCTCCCAATGTCATCAGTGTTGTGTTGTCTGTGTACAATACCTTTATTCACTGAAGGTTAAAATTATCCTTGGTTATGTAAACTATGTATTTACAAATCTTTATAGAGGGTAGCCCAGTTTAACAGATAGCTAGTTTAAATGGGACCTTGTGAACACCCACCCATCCCACCCCAGGGGAGGACATCCACCACACAGTAATCTTGTGCGTGGGAAATTAATGTCTCCTACCCCTAACCCTGCTGGAGACGGGACCTACAGTTTATTCGTCCTTATCCGAGAAGACTAGAATATCTATCCATTTCTTGATATTATAGAAAGGTAGCAAATTCTCCTCAGTTATTTTAAGACCATGAGTATTGGTCTGGCCAGGGCTCAAACCCTCAACCTCCCGCACGACACAATCTGGCGCTCTAATCAATTGAGCTAACTGGGGAGCGGTTGCAACCTTTTTTTTTTTGCAGTTGAAAAATTTTTGGGCTGGTTATTTACCGGAGGTCTAATCCAAACCACAGTTTTATGTAAGCAGTGCGTCTCAGGGATTCTCTACAATAAATTAAACAGTTGTGTGGATGCGAATAAGGGGATGTGAATGCAAGGATGTGGATAAGGCGACTAAATTCAACTGTGTTGTTTTAGTGTATACAAAAATAACTTGTGGATTAAACTTGATTGTAAAAGTACTATGGAATCAAGAAGAGTATGACATTTTTTAATTCAGAAGACATGTTTCGATGTTACAAACATCATTGTCAGTTGCAGACTATTTGATGTTGACTATTTGACGATGATGTTCGTAACATCGAAACATGTCTTCTAAATTAAAAAATGTCGTACTTTTCTTGAAGATAATGATTTGCTTTCTGCTCTCTCAACCTTTTGGTATTATAGATTCAAGTTAAATATTTGGGATGTTGGAGGACAGAAGTCTCTTCGATCATATTGGAGAAATTATTTTGAAAGCACAGATGGTTTGATATGGGTGGTGGATAGTGCTGACAGAAGAAGGCTGGTGGACTGCAAGGAGGAATTGAAAGGTCTCCTTCTAGAAGAGGTAACCGGAGTATTCAAAAATAGTAGGCTTTTTACCAAGGGCAGACTGTATTTAAGAACTAAATAATTTGGATATATCAACAAAGTTGAAATGGTAAATTGGCCACTGTAACGATTACAAAAGCTGACATTTCAAGCGTTAGCCCTTCGTCAGAGCGAATAGAGGAATTGTGGGTATAACGTAGCTCCATTTTCTGCCTTTAAAAGCACACACAACCCACAATTCCTCTATTCGCTCTGACGAAGGGCTAACGCTCGAAACGTCAGCTTTTGTAATCATTACGGTGGCCAATTTACCATTTCAACTTTGTTGATATATCCAAATTATTTTGTTATCCCCACCGACACAGCCCCAAACAGTTTCTTTAGAAACTATCAGCCTTTATTCATTTGTATTTAAGAACTAGCCATGCTTTAAGGATTTCACATAATTTATGTCTATGGTTAAGTTGTGTGTGTACATGTTACAGTTAGATATTATGTTCTACTCCCTGACAACTACAACTAAAGCTTTGGAAGCAAAATAAAAGAACTTAACCAAACTACTCACCTTATGATTTGAGAGGCACAAGGCTTTACAAGATTGGCATCTTATATATATATTTAACCACATTTGTTTGTTATGGGTTTTAACTTTCTAATGTAATTTTTCCTTTTCAAATAATTTAATTTTACTCACCCAGAGGCTTGCAGGTGCTACTCTATTAGTGTTTGCCAATAAGCAGGACCTGCCTGGTGCCTTGTCTGCTGAAGACATCAGAGATGTGAGTATCGTATTATCTGTAGAAACTGTTACGTTTTTGATACAATTTTACCAACTGTTTGCCCCTTTCACTCCCGCGATCTATTTAGTAATTCGCTGTACTGTATGCCATACAATTTTTATGGTGTAAGTTTGGGGAATTTGATATTGGATCAACTAATGGTCCCCTACTTGATATTCTTTTACATTTTCATTTTCATGAGGTGTCTGCCTGATAATGTATTGATATTGTAAGGAGAAGTTCTGTCTTGGTCACTCCTGGGATTGCAAGGGTTAAGTATTGTTGCAACTCATCAGTAATAAAGACTATATTGTGTGATTAGTTTAGTTTAGTTTAGTTTATTAGCTTCGCCGACATGTAGGGACACAGCCACAGCTTGCGCCAATTACGGTGAGCCCAGTAAACCCACCCATCCCACCCCGGGGGAGGACATCCACGACACAGTGATCTTGTGCATGGGAAATTAACGTCTCCTACCCCTTACCCTGCAGGAGATGGGGCCTACGGTTTATTCGTCCTTATCCAAGAAGACTAGAATATCTATCCATTTCTTGATATCATAGAAAGCTAGCAAATTCTCCTCAGTCATTTTAAGACCATAACCATTGGTCTGGCTGGGGCTGAAACCCTTGACCTCCCACACAACACAATCCGGCACTCTAACCATAAAAGTGCAAGATGTACATGTATTTCTAAGGGCAGATCCAGAGAAAGTACTTGATGAAAAAGTATACTCTAGAAGCATTGCAAATATCAACCTCTTGTAGCCTTGTGAGATTTTCAAGAAATACCTAACCATTTGTAAATTGTCTTCACAATAGACCCTGGGTGTGGCCACACAAGTGCACTACAGTTTAGTTCACATCAGAGTTTACGTGTTATTGACTGGCACAGTAAAATCAAATCAGACAGGAATTTATTATTAAAGAGGAAAAATTGTCTTAGAAAGAAGGAGGCTTCAATCCTTTGACCATCTTTAAAGCTGCTTCAAGTATCTTAGAGGAGTCATTGTTATTATCTTTTTCTATCATCAGGCTCTTGATTTGGAATCCATCAAGACACATCATTGGAACATTCAGTGGTGCAGTGCAGTTACAGGAGAGAAGCTTTTGGATGGCATTGACTGGATTATCTCAGACATTGCATCAAGAATATTTACAATGGACTGACACAATGTCTGTGGACTTGTTTTGGAGAATATATCTTAAAATTGCCGTGGAAAAGCGGTCATATTTAAGACGCAAGGCAAGGATGAGTAAACTTCAAGATTATGAAACCAAACCAATTGTCTCAGCCTTGAAACAAAAATGTAAGGACTGCAAGATAAACTCCTTCATTTATTGTGAATTTGGACTTTATACTGAAGAACCATACTTCAAGACGATTAATTTTATGGTTGTTAATATTTATGAACATGCAAGATAAATGAAAGATTACCTGATAATAAAAATATGAGGTATTCAACTTTTTTCCCCATACATTGCTTCTTACATTTTATTTTCTCAATCAAATTGAGCACAAAGCTGCTAATTTTTGGGATGAATGCCATGGTGAGAAATACTGATGCCTCACCCCCCCCCCCCAGAGATCCAGCTCTCAACCTTTAATTTCTGTTTGAGTGGAGGAATTACAACAGCACTGCAGTGGCATATTCCTACCATAGTTGGTTAACATTAGGCATGATAGTGTTCCAACAAAGTTGTTGTGAGACTCAGCAGGCTTAAGTATAGCATTGACACACTCAAACTTTAACTGAATGTATAAACCTAAGTGAAGACAAATAAATCTGCATTTGAGCACAAAATAACTTCACTAACTACCATGGGGTTGCTATACATTTCAATGTCCAAGAACACTCATCCTTGATGTTGATTTGTTAGTCAGTCGGCTAGTTAAATCTCCTTGGTTTGTAACATTTGTTAAATTATCGATTGCACAGTAATTTGTAAAATAGGTTAAGGCTGGACAGGATTCACTGAGTAATTCTCATGTTGCATCAGCTAAGTTGAGCAAAAAGTAAGGGCTATTTGCAGTCGCAGATCCAGACGTTGTGTTAAGGGAGGGGGTAGGCATTTTTTTGTGTGTATTCACCTACCAGCTTTTCTTCTCTGCATTTTTTTTTTCACCCAANGTAATTGAGAATTGATATGATTATAAAATTTACATAATTGAGATGTTTATTCAATAGATATAATCTCTTTTTACAGATTTTATCATGATAATCTATGAGTTATTTTAGTCAATCAAGAAAATGAACTGGATTACAAGGTCACCTAATTAAATATCTACAAATTAGATATATCACAGATAATGATAGCATTAAGTATTTATAAAATATTGTTTTGCTATTATAAATATTCTCTATTTACAGTGTACAATGGCATTAAGAAATAATTTTATTTTTATTTTTCTCTGTAAACAAATGTATTATTATAATGCTGATGAATTCCCAAATGAGAAGTGTGGTTTTGGTTTTTGTTAAGTTTCCTGTAATCACATTTGTTTAAATACTATTGGTTTCATTCACAAAGTCTTTAAGCCTAAAACAGACTTAATTTTGTACAGTTATCTGCTCTTGTATATGTACAAAAAAACTTGGTAAGTGGGCACCTTGTGGTGTTGGTTTCGTTTTGGTTTACGCACTCCAAGCCTGGTAGCTAGTGATCTAGAACAATTTTCAATTAGGGTGACTGAACACAGTTTTTGATACCTGTGTTTCTTTCACCATTTTTTCTAATACCCTTGATCTCTCGGTCGCCAAAACTAGCAGCAAGCAAGTTAACAACACAAACTTTCTTTTTTTTGATAGTTAAGCCGACGTAAGTGCCGCTGCCATGGCGACATGATAAATATGAATAGGCCTTAAAAATCAGTTTTGTTTATTTGTCGAAAATCTAGTCATTAAATTTCTTTTATAATTTGCATGAAACGAGCTTGTAACAATACTCACAAGTTAACACCATTTTGCTAACAATTTAACAGATATCTTTAATTACCCATTGTTGAAGGTTCACTCGATTATCTAGAATTTCCTTTGTTAAAAACCAAATTTTTTCAATGCTCCAGTTACTTATTTCCTAAAGTATTTTCGTGCCAAATTTCGTGGAATTCTAATGAGTGGTTCTCAAGAAATGGCATATTTCCTAGAGAGCAATTTTCCATTCAATCGCAATTTCTTGACTTACTACGCATGCGCTGCATTTAACTGGGTTCTTTCGATGACGACGAAAGAGCTGAGAATTGCTGGGTTCTTTGCACCGTTTAACTTTTCTTACATGTCTTTGTAATAATACAATAATATCAATACACTGCGCCAACTATAGAGAAAAATAGCACAGATGGTGCGGATACGTGTTGAGTACATAAAATGACCGCTCTATTGACGGCATGTTTGTCTTTTGCAGTCCTTGTGCGCGCGCGAAAACTGTGTTTAGCCACCTTAAATGTCGAAAATAAAGCGCGTCTTTCTTTTGCTCCGTGATTAGTCTTAAAAAAGCTCGCGCTTTCCCCTCAAACAATAAGATGCAGAACTAACAACAATGGCGGCTTGGTCATCCAAGTTTTCCCGCGCTTCTAACAGTTTGCTTGTTTTCATTTTAGGATTTCATTGGCTAATAAAATGTAAACCTCTGCTCGGATTATTTTTGTATTTGATTTTTGACACTATTGTAAACTGCTCTCAATCAATAAGTTAATACAACCCACACCGCGTAGAAGGCGATAGCGTTCATGAAGTTTAAAGAAAAGGGCAACCAAACACTGCCATGGTTTGCCGTCTTTTTAAATCTGTTAAAGAGGATCCCGTTATCGTCTGACGAGCTTTTAGCCATAAAGTAACCATTTTCCTCCGCCGTGGTTCTTGTTATGCTACAGTTTTGAGCCGGACAGTGCTGCACACACGATTTTGCGCCCAAAGGGCAACTCAATGTACAGCCGCCCCCCGAGCAATTTTGATGGCAGTGAGGTCCATTGCATTCGAAAGAACAGCCACCTAAATCACAAAGCTGAAAGCACGAAGGTGAATTGCAGACCCCTTGACAACCACCTTGAGGACATTGCTGCAAAGAGATGAAACACCCGTTTGTTTGTTAAACTCAGTTAATGACAATTTTATTGGTTAAAAGGTAAGCGCCACAATATTAGCGGGTTCTGTCGCTCTCAGTAGTTATTCTAAAATTATAAGCTCACGGAGAACTATTCAAGAGCGTCACATCTGGATATTTGAGCTCTTGAGCCCAATTTTGCCGGGTTGTCAAATCAATTTAACTGATTACTCAAAATATGAGAATTTTCTTATTAAAAAATGGTCCGGCAGCATACCTGCTCGCATTGCCACATCGCTCTGCAAGTCATGTTGCAGTTTCTTCCTTGACCACATTTCTGCACGCATTTGTTGGAGTTACATACTTGGTCACAGCTACCATCGATGGTACAATACTGGTAACATATTTTGCCGGTGTTGCACTCTTGATTGCAGCTTCCCCCGCAATGCTGGTAGCATCTTAAATCTGTCGTGCACTTTTGCTGGCAGTTACCACCGTGGCATTCCTGGTAGCCAATAGTTTTGGCTCGCATGATCATCTTCCTTCCACCGAATCCCAGCTGCGTTTTGTAAGTATAAATAAAGGCACCAGTCATTTTTATCTCCTCGACTCGAACAGAATGTAAAGGGGGGGGGAGGACTATAGATAATTGACTGCCAACTAACTGACAATGAGGAGGAGGGGGAAGACATAAGAATTTTACAGGGCCTTTGGGGAGATCAGGAAATTTATTATCACAGTCAAATTCCCCCGATCCTCCCTCCCTCTCCCCCCCTCTCCCCCTCCCTCTATGCGATAAAAAAATGGCGATTGTTTAGTCTAGTTATTTAAAAACCAGTCTTATACAGACCCAGGGGTTACAGAGGGAGCAGGATGCGGGGCCGGAGTGAAGAGAATAAGCTTCTGATATGAGAGACACTATCCCCTAGGGATGAGAGTGGAGGACTGCAAGTCTTTGACGCCACCCTACTCCCGGCTATGCCTTCCCTTGATAACTGAAAGCAACCTTTTATACATTTACTAACCTGTTTACAAGAGCCCTCTTTACTGCGGCAGCTCACCAGAGGGCAGTCGGACGAGCACTGCTGCTCACAGTCGTTGATAGTTCTGCATTTCAAAGAGCATTCTCCCATTTGACATGACTGTTGACACTGATCCGAGACACACCTCATTGGACAGCGTCCTTCGAAACAGTTTTGGACGCATCTCTCCTTGGCTTTACAGAGGGCTTGACAGTTACCACCAATGCAGTCCTGACAAAGAAATAAAAACAATTGTAGAGTTAGAGTGCATTTCGATTAAGTGTTGAAAAACAAAAGCCAAAGCAATCGCAAAGGCCAGTCAGAGGAAAGGAAACAACACGAAAAGCCAACGAGAACTCAAAGTAAGAACAAGAAAACTCCCCAAGCGCGGGAAAATGCAGGTGACCAAGTCGCGATTGGTTTCAGTTTTAAATATGAATGGTTGAGAAAGTGGCATGAGTTTTTTGGGCCTATCACAGGAAGGAAACATCACGAGCAGCCAACGAGAACTCGAAGTAAGAACAAGCAAACTGCTCAAGCGCGGGAAAATGCAGGTGACCAAGTCGCGATTGGTTTTAGTTTTGAATCTGATTGGTTGAGAGAGAAGCGTGAGTCTTCTGGACCAATCACAGAACGAAGTGAAACAAAACCAATGCGATCCTGGATTACTTTCAACGCTCAATTAAAAATTGCTCTAATGGGACAAAAATCACGACTCAGTGGGTTGACAGTTGACGACCAATAATAAATCTGAAAAATTTTTTTTGAAGAGAATTTCCGTTACATACATTGGAATGAGGGGTTTTAAGTTAGATAAACCGCCCGCCTGGCAGGGTTCTGTACATTCCTCTGCACATAGTGAGCCCAATATTAATCGAGGGATAATAAGAAACGGTACCCTAGTCATACCTGATCACAGTGACGCCCGTTCGGACATCTCATTTTACACGATCCATCCTGGCATGACTGCTTGCAGTGTGAACGCGCTTGACAGGTCAAGTTGCACGCACCATCATCGCATGCCTGTGTACAGTTTGTTGTTGTGCAGCGCACCGTTCCACAGGTTTGCGGCGCGAAGATATCACACCACTGTTCCTGATAGCAACCGTCTTGCGTAACGCAACTCATATCACACGGGCCATTTTCACAAAGTTGATCACATGGTTTGTTAAGGTTGGGACATGACATTTTGCAATTCTCGTGGATGTCACACTTCTGTTTGCAAGAGCCGGCTGAAGGATATTTGCAATGGCGGACTTCTCTTTGGGCCATCTTTGATGTCACCGACGGCAAAAGCACTGACAAAAGGATGAGAAATGCATGAGGCTGGGCCATGATCGTTTCACAACAAACGTCTAGTTGCAGTTCTGAAAAAGAATAAATTTTTAATGTATTAGTTTTACCTTGCCGCGCGAGATCATAACTGTGGAAATAGAGTCCAAATAGCCTTTCGGCCAGATCTCAGCCCAATCTTTGCTATGCTGTAATTTCTGAGCACCTCAGAAAAAGACGCCAAACTTTATCAAGGTAGCTGAACTTCCACTCAAGAAAAAAAACAATGAGATAGAAAATAGCATTTAAAAATTTTATCAGGTAGTTTCGATCGACTAGATTTTATTAATTTTAGAATTTAAAAAATAAACAGGAACAAGAAAAATTTTTAAGGTTCTTTTTTCTTCAAAGATGTTTCTGGCCCTGATTTCATTAAAGTTCTTTATTGACTTATCGTTAAATCGTGGCTTCTATCTTAAGGAATGAAATTCGGAATGCTGAGTTTTCCAGGCTAGTGTCTCCGTGGAGTTGATGTACATCTTTAAGTAGGAGAATATATCTATTTAAAAAAAAGGCAATTGCACACGCGTGTTTCTGCAGTTCTTTCATCTAAGCGGGCTGGAGTTCTGTTGTCTAACTCTATGGTAACGCGGCAGGAGCCTCCTTTGTTTTCTATAAGAATCAGGAGGTAATTTGGAAGTGAATCGTAAGTGAAGCTGTGTCAAGTTTAGAAAGGTCTTAGAATTTGTATTGGCTTTTTGCTAACGGTTTGAACTCAGAATATCCCTAGTTTGCTTTTGCAATGAGCACTTTCTACCCTATTGCACGCCGTTGTATGGAAAACAAAACGTACCACTACGTTTCTTGGTTATTCCGGGCTCACTTTACACAGCGCGTGAGTTTCGTCAGTCTTGTTGCAGAAGGAAACAATTTCGATTCACTTTTGGCGGCGTCGAAAGAATCTGTTGAAGATGTATTAATTGGCAGCCTTATAAAAGCATGCGTTAGATTATTGCAAATAAATTAGGGGAAGACATTCCCTCTTTTGTTTATGAATTTCGAGTCCGTTGGACCAATTAGCGCGCGCAATGTTTATGAATGCAATCATATCACAAAAGTGATATTTGGACATATACTTGAAGTAAACATACTACTTACATTTCTGAAGCCTTCTGTTAGAAAGTTTTGCAAAGTAAACATGCAGAGAACCCTTGTTTGCCGATTAGTTCTTGGAATGATTCTAATTACGTTTCCTGTCTATCACTTGCTTATTTTTTCCGGCTTCTCTTGCTCTATTCAAAAACACGTTCATTAACCTAAACGCCAGGTGTTCACTCAAAATGTTTTGGCTTCGCTCGTGGTTTGAGTAATTTAATTATAATCAAGTCTCACCCTCGTGTTGATGACTTTTCGCGAAAAAATATGTTCATATAACATGGATTAAGGAAAGGAATGACATATCTCTTCCACTACCTAGGCATAAAGCAACAGTTATTGCGCGGCAATAAACCCTCGGTAAAAAAAATCATCCGACGCATAAGCAGTTACTTTTCCAATTCAGTTTTACCACGCAAATTTAAATTTGCAACTAATTTGGGAAAATAGCAGAGAGCTATATCTGAAAGGAAGGATTTCCCGTTAGATAAATGTTGCATTGTGAAGGGAAAGAAACATGATCGAGCCTTAGGATACTGATATAACTTGCTTTGCGTCATTTCATTCGACAATTATCACGGAATCTGCAGTGATGTATTGTGTTTAGTCAACGGATGTTAGAGTAAACAGAAGCGAGTCACCGACTTAACATATTCCACTAAGGGAACAGTAACTATACCTCTTTTCAATAACAATAGTGCCTGTCAACGGTTAGAAGTCAAAAACCTGAAGGTTTGTGAAGTTATGGGAGGTCGTGCGTGCTTATTTCATTTGATATTGACTTCTTTGCTTGCATGTGATGGTAAATATATAACTTATCTATGAGTGCGTTTTCATTTTCCACCACCAATATTCGTTATCTATTATACCGGCTCTCACGCGATATTTTGAGTTACTTTGACTTTTTGTGTCGAAAGAATCGTCATCAAGCAATGATTGTGTGATGGGATGCTTGATAACAAAATCATGCGCCTTTTGCTTGAACGAAGGGCTAACGCTCGAAACGTCAGATCAGAAATTCTTAACGATGACCATTTTACATTATGAATATATTATAAAACCAAATTATCTTGCTATACCCCTACCGACGCAGCACCAAAGGTTCTTTAGAAACTTTCCCCCTTTATTCAACGTCAAACATAGAAGATAACAAGCATCCGTACATTTTTTCTCCATTTTCTTTTTAAAGGCACGGGCAGTTTGGAACACGTAGTAACTTTTCTTAGCTTGTAACGGTTTACCGAAACACCATTCGAGAGGCTGTTGATAACAATACTATTGTATTAAAAGCGAGGGAACAAAAGCTGAGCTTATTTCTTTTTAACCCATATTGCCATTTCTCATCTTGAAGTTGAAGACTACTGAAATTTATTTCCTCTCACAGGTTAACAAAGTTCAAAAACCTTTTCGAGTTCAAGTCGTGAAATAGGCGACAATTTGGAAATAATCGAATAAAATTTTCTTTAGCGGTTTTTAAACGCTTGTTACTTTCAAACAAGCCCATTGAAGGCAAGCTTGACCTGTGCTGTAGAATGATTCTCGAATAAAAACAACTTGCTTTGAGCACGTTCAATTTTAAGCTCCAGTAGAATTGTGACTGTTCGCTTTATCTGATGATTGTCGGTTGCACGGTAGAAAACAAGTACGATTGCACTTGCTGACGTACGGGAGCCGCAATTTCGTTCTTAAAACCCTGAGAGAGCAATTGATATTGCGAGCTCAGTCCTGCATGACGTTTGTTTGAGTTTATCTTGTTATCAAAGTGGACGGGGGTTAGTTCTCTAATATTACTGAGATATATCGATTCAGTGCATTTAAGTTTTTAGTAGCTTGTCTTATGAGAGGATGTGGTTTAGAAGATGGGCCACCCACTGCCGGAGTTGAGGTAGAAAAGATATAAGTCTTACCTTTAGTAAAGGGTAGCGAGTTCATTTTACCTCAAAGGACTCCGATATGCACTCGAGAGTTTAAAAGACGACCCTGAATTATTAAATTTTTGTTATGAAATTTTGCAAAGATTATAATAGAAAACATACGCCACAGGCGTTCTTCAGGAGCTCGCCCTATCAGTTAGTTAAGCATTCATCCAAAGCCGGTGCGCAATTTGCCTTCCCCTTCTTTCCTCGAATTCCCTATTGAGCTGACATCAAAAAGAGCAGTGTTATATCTAGGCAATTCAAGTGTTTTGACAGCCAAAGTCGCAGATTACCTTTTAAAAAATCTTTAAGTGATTAACCGAACCAATTATCATAAATAGAAGCAGAGCCATATATTCCTTTCAATTTCACGCTCACTTAATTTCCTTGTTCTCTTCTCGCTAATATAACCTAATTGAAGTATAAAATCGATTCATAATTTTCTTTTCAGATTTTAAAAGATGGCCTGAACCACCCGTTGAGTGGATAGCAAAACAGCAAAGTTCTCGGCCTTTCAGTATTGATTGCTATAGCCAGCTGAGCAGTTTTCCGTAGACCAAAATCTGTGAATCGCTGTATCGTTCAAGTGTGCTACGGCTTTAAGAAAATGTAGAGGGACCTCTGTGCTTCTAGGAAGCCTCTATTGTATGAAATAAGGGGCTGGGGCGTTTTCTAATTTGAATTCGCTGATCGCCTAATTTTTTTGTTTTGTCTTTGTTAATGCAGGTTGATTGAGGTGTAAATTTGGTTAAAAATGTAACTGATTTGACTGATCAACTCACCTTGCTTCAGAAGTAAACGATCCTTAACAAGTCTCCATATGACTAAGCGATAAAATCGGTCTTGATATATTTGCTCTACACACAGGCTTTGCCGTCGATTTGAAATCCAATAAGAGCCATTTGCTGCCGAAATGATCGACAGTGGAGTCTCGCTAAACCAGTGTATCACGAAAATGTGGCAAAGTTTTGAAGGTTACTTCATGTTCAGTCTCGAAGCACACCGTGGGTATTTTTAAAGCACGTGGATGTACTCAAGAACTTAGTCAAGCGTTTCTGTGTTTACAAATTATTTGTTTCCGCGGTATTGAACTTGTGCACTCGATTGACGGCTACAATTTTTTAAACTTTCAGCCCTTGTCGTTAAAAACACACCCAGCATAGAAAACAAACACGCTCTCCACAAGATTTTACGAAGCGTTAATTTTTATGGCGAGTTAATGGTACTAAGACCGAGATAACAAAAAAAAAAGAAGAAAATTAAGGAATGATACTACATCAAGAGTCACTTTCGACGAACATACCTTGATCACGTCGATGTTCGCATCATGGTATCTTCCTTGGCCTTGGTTAGTTTCAAAGTCTTTTTTTAAAGCTTAGTCATGATATAAGTGGTATTTCGGGAAATATTCATCCATCTCAAATTGCGCTTGTGGGCTGCTATTACCGCGCACATTTCAATATCACAACAGCAGCTGTTTTGGAAGAAATCCATGACGACAGAATTAGTTTAAAGTAAACGGTTTGAACTCTGTATGTTTTTCTTGTCGCTTTAAATGAAACAACCTTTGCTGAGTGAAAGTCTACTTGGCAATAAATGTTCACCTATTACCAGCGAGTTTTTTGTTATTTTCAGGGGACTTGGCATTTTTCTAGGTTTTAAGAAATCATCTTAATGAGATATCAATTGGTAGTAAAAGCCTAGGGTTTGACAGATGAGGTCGCTTAGGAAAAGCGCCTGATTGAAAAGCTATTTAGATAAGTTGTAGCTGAGAATCTAGAGCCGAAGGAAAAGAAAACTTGTCTTTGAGAAATATATTGGGCTAGGCAAATGGAAAAATAAAAATATGAAATTAATATCTGCGGCAGGCAGGGAGATTTACAATTTTTCACGCGTCACTTAGAACAGGTGGTCACCTGTGTAATGGTGATCTGGCACTGTTGCGAAATCTATTGTCATGTTGATAAACAACGTCCATCAAGAAGTTTATAAAACCGGACAGAATGTAAGATAGCAAGGGATATCTGACGTAAAAATGATCCGAATCTTTAAAGCAATTTTTTTTCATTCGCTATATTAGTATGAATGCGACATTTAAACTTTTCTAACAGTAACGCAAACTTTCAATATGTTGCGAAAGAAAAGCTGTGTTTGATCGTAAATGATGTCATTAGGACTTAAGTCGTTTAAGGTTTATGCTTGCCGCAAAATATTGAATAATTCTCGCCGATGATGTTTCAATGTAGTGTCAATATCAAAACATATTTCCATGAAAACCCACGTATATTCTAATCATGTAGCTTCAAATCGGCTCATACCATACTTATTATGTCATCGGCAAAGATGAACAACATGTTCTTTTAGACCTTAGGGATTTGTTTTGTTTTTTTTTTGTAACTGGGATTAAAATCGAGATTTCCTTTAAAAGTGTGCCTTTAAAAGTCGTTAGAAAACGCTGATTTTTCAGTTTCTCTCTTTTGTTTTGTGACTTACAGAATGACCAAAGGAAATTTCGTTTTACTGAAAGGGGAAAACAATAAATCAGTTTACTATACTTGCCATCTAGAAAAGCAAAAGAGAAAACTGCACTCCAAGAGTTAACGAGAATTACCGATGATGGCTCAGAAGGTTGGCTTGCAAATGACGAAACTGAAAATCTGGGCGAAATCTGATCAAGATTCACAAACTATGGTGCTCCTTTGGGAAGCTAAAACGTATGACCCTTACGGACAGATGAAACATAAAAATGTTTACCTTAAAAGTCACTTAGTTACAGAAGAAGATTACGCTGTACATGAAAGAGCGGCTTCAATATACGGTATGTGGATTTAATATAAGTGGATCCAAAATATTTGTGCAACATATGCCTGTATGATGACAGAGATCTTAGATGGTTTAATCTCAACCCCTTTTTCTTAATCCCCTCCCACATTATAAAAGATCTCGCCTGCATCCTTGGGCGAGAATTGTAGTCTGTCAGTTTGAAAACATCGTAGTTAATTTTTCAGTTTTAGATCAATACGTTACTTTTAAGGTACGGTTTTGATGATCTGTTTAAGATAAGATCATCAAACTCATATCTGGCGACAGTCCTACTTGCTGTTCCTGATCTAATCAAGTTTTTTTTTTTAAGTAAAAAGAAAATTATTGCCCTATTTGTTGATAATTAGATAAACTGTTTGCGAATTTGAAGGTCATGGATGGTAATCAGGATTTCCCTTTCATTTGGAATATTGCGAGTAAGCGGCGGTAAAAATGGAGATTTAAAGCTGCGGGGTGAAAATGTCTAATGGCAAAGTTTGGTAGCATTATCATAAGTCACGACCGGCGATTACCTTGTGTCACATTAACCTGTGCTACATTCGCTCTGACGAAGAGTTAACGCTCAAAACGTCAGCTTTGAAACTCTTTCTGGCGGCCATCCGCACTATCAACTCAGTTGACAAAACCAAAATTAACCTGTGTTACAGCCCGTAAGACGAAGGTACGCAAAAGGAACGAATTTCGAACGTTATTGTCTCAAAAGAAAAGGTTCTTTAATCACTTTTACCCAGGCTTCATTTCATTTTGAGGTGATGTGTTTTGATCAGCTTAGTTGGTTAGCCTCCATCAATTAAATGATGTAAATCTTGGTAGGAAACTCTACGCTGTGACACTAAGTGAATATCCTACCTCGATTGGCCCAAGAGTTTGCTGGTAACCTTCCGTAATTTCTTTTCTGAGCACGAGGATACCAATCTCATGGCAGTCGTGTCTAAACGCATGCGAGCTGAGTAAATATATTCTTATCTCGTGCCAATCCTTTCTCATACAGTAATGATAAAAAGATAAATACACACGCACAAGCAAAAAGAAAGTAACTAAATAAATAAAAATAAATAAACTAACTAACCAACATGCGCTCCATGCAGTTTAAAAAAAAAAGGAACAGTCAGTCATACGCAGACCTGTCTCAGTTACAATATAGAGTCCCACAGTTGGTGTTTTGGGGATAAAGGATAGCAGGGCATAAAAACGTCAAATAACAAGATAATTTTGGACATATTGGACTTGAAGGACTAAACAGTTTTATAGACAGTGTAATTAGATAGGGTTTTACATTAATTATTCTTTTTTTCGTATTACCATCATCCAAACGCCAAAACGGCCGCTACTGGACAAAACCCCAAATTAAAATGGCCAAAATGCCAAAACAGCCACGAGTGGCCACAATATCAAAACGGAAATTAGTGGCCAAACTGACGAAACGGCCGCTAGTGACCAAAACACCAAAATAGCCGATAGCGGCCAAAATGACAAAACGGCCACGAGTGGCTAATACTAAGGCCAAAACGGCCACTAGTGGCCAAAAGCCAAAACAGCTACTAATGGCCAAAAAGCCAAAACAGCCACTAGTGGCCAAAATGTAAATACGGCCACTAACAACCAAAAGGCCAAAAGAGCCACTATTGGGCAAAATACAAAAACCGCCACGAGTGGCCAAAATCTAAAAACAGCCACTAGTGGCCAAAATGTAAATACGGCCACTAGTAACCAAAAGGCCAAAAGAACCACTATTGAGCAAAATACAAAAACGGCCACGAGTGACCAAAATGTAAAAACAGTCACTAGTGGCCAAAAGGCAGAAACGGCCACTACTACCCAGAGGGCCAAAACTGCCACTAGTGACCAAAATGCAAGAACGGCCTCAAGAGGCCAAAATGCCAAAACAGCCACTAATGACAAAGAGGCTAAAACAGCCACTAGTGGCCAAAAAGCAAACACAGCAATTAATGGTCAAAATGCAAAAACGGCCACTAGTTGCCAAAGTGCCAAAACGGCCACTAGTGGCCAAAATGCCAAAACGGCCATTAGTGGCCATGTAGCGGTGGAATCCGTAAGAGAGAAACCACAGCACACTGTTAACGGATTCTCCAGACGTTTATTTAGTCACGAGCGCGGGAAAGCTCCGCAACTCCTTCAGAACACTTTTAAAACATACTCACGTCTCTTACCACGAGTAGTCTATCTCTGTAGGGGGGGTCCAATTACGAGACAATACAATCGTACCCTAATTGCGTGACCTACGTGAGTAACGCACGACGCGGTACAACTCTTCTACAGCCAGAAGGCCAAAACGGCCACTAGTGGCGAAAAGGCCAAAGCGGCCACTAGAGGCGAAAAGTCCAAAACGGCCACTAGTGGCCAAAATGCCAAAACGGCCGCTAGTGGCCAAAAGGCCAAAACGGCCATTAGTTGCCAAATGAGGCCAACACGGCGACTGGTAGCCAAAAGGTCAAAACGGCCACTAGTGGCCAAAAGGCCAAAACGGCCACTAGTGGCCAAAAGGCCAAAACGGCCACTAGTGGCTAGAAGGCCAAAACGGCCACTAATGGCCAAAATGCGAAAACGTCCATTAGTGGCCAAGAGGCCCAAACGGCCACTAGTGGCCAAAATGCTAAAACGGCCGCTAATGGTCAAAATGCCAAAACGGCCATTAGAGGCCAAAACGGCCACTAGTGGCCAAAAGGTCGAAACGGTCATTAGTGGCAAGAGGCCAAAACGGCCACTGATGGCCAAAATGCCAAAACGACCACTAGTGGCCAAAAGGCGAAAACGGCCATTAGTGGCCAAAAGGCTAAAACGGCCATTAGTGGCCAAAAGGCTAAAACGGCCATTAGTGGCCAAAATGCCAAAACGGCCATTAGTGGCCAAAAGGCCAAAACGGCCACATATTGGCCAAACGGAAAAAACGGCCACTAATGGCCCAAAAGCCAAAACGGCCTTTAGTGGCCAACATACCAAAACAGGCAGTATTGACCAAAAGACCAAAATGGCCGCTCGTGGCCAAAATGCCGAAACGACCACTGGTGA